ACAGTAATCCAGATGACTGGCTTTTTTAAAGTTGAAAGAAAAACTTGAGGCCCCTGAACTTTTTAAATTACATGCATGAACTGAGGTTATGGGCATTTTGACCAATTTTTAATTCAAAATGGCCACCAGTATCAAGAGTTCAATTCTTTTTGGAAATCACAAAGTTACCTAAGTTGTTATTACATGTATAGATTTTCGGAACCCCCATTTTTAGTTACTATTTTTTCATTTAATTAATGGAATCTTCCACTCAACAGCATATCACAAATTTGTAGTGCTTTTAATGTTCAGCATCCTACTATATTATTTTGGGATTTCGGTAATACTACCTTCAATGATTTACTGTGTGTCCTCTAAGCTGATATGACGCACCACTGACGCACACAGATGTAAATACTTATGCTAATTCACTGGTGTGTCATTGACGTAAAAGGAAATCATACATTGATATATTGATAAGGAATTAAGTAAAATGAAATTCAAATTTGATGAACATAATAAATGTAAAAATAAAGGGGCCCCAACATTTTTGTTTGTGCTTCAATTCACCTCACAGTTCATACAATTTTAATTACCAATCTCCCCAGCAATAACAAGTTTCTCCACTTGAATTTGGAGATTCTATTTTGAATTCTTACAAAATCAGTCCTGATTGAAAGTCTCATAAATACACATTTAATACAATGATTGGAGGACATATGTATGCATCCCTTACAAATGAACCAACATTTAAATGTCACACACTGTAAATGCAGACTTCTAATTTTTTGAAAAAAACAGGTTGTAGTAACTTACCTTAAATTAGAGCATCCCAATATCTTCTATTAATGGACTGCATCCACATTATCCTACTCCATAAGCAATGCAAACTGGTGTGAAGAGTTGATAGTTATAGGAGCGTCACATGACTGACATCACATGACTTGTGTGACTGTCTGCAGACAACACAATCAATTTGTCTTGACAGTTATACATATCCTTCAAATGATAAGCATCCACAAATGCAATTGTCTTTCCATTGATGGATCACAACAGTTATTTTTATTTCGAAAACACAGATTTCTATCGTCTCAGATTTCTATCAGAGAAGCTTGTACTTGCACAGTTGTGGGGATGATGGTCTTCCATGCTTCTGCTTATATTTTTTGTAACAGACAATGTGATTGGTTAACAAACCCATTGACATCATCAACAGATACATGTATCCCATCCAAACACACAGCTTGTACTTGCACAGTTGTGGGGATGATGGTCTTCCATTCTTCTGCTTATATTTTTTGTAACAGACAATGTGATTGGTTAACAAACCCACTGACATCATCAACAGATATCCCATCCAAACACACAGCTTGTACTTGCACAGTTGTGGGGATGATGGTCTTCCATTCTTCTGCTTATATTTTTTGTAACAGACAATGTGATTGGTTAACAAACCCACTGACATCATCAACAGATATCCCATCCAAACACACAGCTTGTACTTGCATAGTTGTGGGGATGATGGTCTTCCATTCTTCTGCTTATATTTTTTGTAACAGACAATGTGATTGGTTAACAAACCCACTGACATCATCAACAGATACCGGTATATCCCATCCAAACACATAGGGTGTTGTAAATGTATGTTTTTAATTGATTTTGAATGATTCTGTATCCATTCACAGATCCAGTGAAATGATATGACACACATAAACCAATCAAAAGTTTTTTTTTCTGATATTTTTAGAATATGCTGTTGCATGAGAACTGAAGATGGTTTCAATGGTCAGATTTAGCAAACCATTACCATGAGAAAGACATCAATTATTGATAAAATGATAAAAGGTGAAGTATGAAAAAAGAAAATTGTAACCAGGTTGATACAAGTTTGACATAGATCTTGAAGTGTGGACATACCTTGCTACCTCATCTACTGTACATAGTGACTTGATACATGTATATTGTGTGTGGACATAAAGTGTACGTTACTTAGACATACTGACTTGATATATTGTGTGTGGACATAGCTTACTTAAAATAGAAATAGTGACTGGTTATATTGTGTGTGGACATCTTACTTAGACATAGCGACTTGTTATATTTTGTTTAGACGTACATTACTTAGACATACTGACTTGATATACTGTGTGTGGACATAGCTTACTTTAAATAGAAATAGTGACTGGTTATATTGTGTGTGGATATCTTACTTAGACATAGTGACTTGAAATGTCAAGTGTTCTTGTAATGCTACTTATGTTGTATTACACAAATATATTTTTAATAAATCAACTTATTTACATCAGTGAAGTACTTAGTCTCGGAGAAATACAAATCATGTGAACAGTACAGACATAAATCAAACTATCAAAACTGAGAGTAAAACATGTCTTTTCATCGAGCATGTTATTTTTGCTAGGTTAGCTAACGTCATTTCGCTAATTTGAGATGTAGCTAATTCAGTTGAAACCAAATTCTCACAATGAGATTGTTGGCACTACCGGGTATTGGCTAAACTAAGATTCTGTTAATTTATGTATTTAGCTAATTCCAAAAATTGGCACAAGAAGGCGCTATTGTCAAAGTTCAGTGTAACAGTTGGCAACAGAGGGCGCTATTGTCAAAGTTTACTGTCGGGACTAGGAAAAAAAAAGAAAGAATTGCGGATCAATTTTATTTGACATAACAGCAATATATCATTAGAGTAATTGGTAATATCTGGAAGATTTGTTCTAACACTCCATTCCCTCCCCTACATAGGGTTCAAAATTGATATTTTTTCACTTTGAAGTCGAGATGAGCTACTACCGGTATTTTGCAGAGCTGGTAGCTTGGTAACATTGGGTAGTTTTTGTTAGTACTTACAGCAATGCACAGTTTGAATAAAATTGAAAATACAAGTCATTGCTCAAATAGTGTACGAAACCCATAAGTTTATAAGACAGACTGGTTTAAAACAAAGTATGAATTCCAGGAGGACATTCGGGCAACACTTTTGGAAAATGATAGCCCTATGACAAGAAATGGTGTGCACTGCACTAATATCAATTCATAGCCTTGGTTTTAAGATTACAGGATATCTGTATATCATAGATAACAAGTACATGCTTCCTTTCATTGGATATCTGTCTTCCTTAGGGACGACATCAAAAGATCGATGTCGGATAAAAAACTTAATTTTTTTAGTTTTTTTCCCAAAACCCTCTACCCCCCACTGAAACTTAATTGATAAATATTGGTCATGGCGTCAGACTACATTCACCATTAAATACAAATTGATAATCGGACAGTAGTATGGCATAGCAGTTGGTTGTAATAATGAAGCGGAATATACGCATGCGCAAACTACTTTTCAGGGTTCTGCGCATGCTCTAGGTCCATGACCTGAAATTGACCTCATTTGACACACATATTTACACTTGGACCAAACCATCTTGTCTTGGATGTTTTTTTTTCATTTTCTGTTATTTTTGTTTATGATTGGATACAAAAACGAACTACAAATACTCCAAGGTTTTATTGACTTCATTAAAAAATAAAATCGTTTTTGTAGGATGGAAACTTTTTGAGGTCAAACCCCCCCCCCTACCACCACCTCCAAACTAAAGCAAATAAGTTTTTTATCCGACATCGATCTTTTGACGTCGTCCCTCATTATTGACTTCTCAATTTAATGTCATAATACTGTATTTGCTCCATTGCAACATTGTTACTAAAAACGACTCTTGTTGGAAAATTTGACTCTATTTTTGCTTACTTCCTGTCCAGAATATGCTTGTTATGTATTTGCGATAACAACCATAATATGTTTTTCTTTCTTTTAGCAGTTTGCAGAGCCATTAACACTAATAATTTTTTTTAAATCTCATTTAGTAATCGTGATTAGCAGCACATATTGTTCATATAAGATATACAATATCAGAAGATAGACTAGTTTATTTCTCCACTCTGTTTCGTCAGCTCTGAACATACAAACATATTTTACTTTAATTAAATTTTGTAAATGATTACGCTAAATTGTTTATTAGGTCATTCACATTTATAAGGACATGAGCTTCTAATGAAGAAAATTCACATTCACAGTATGCACATTTCTGTCAAATTTGTTTCCTGATTTTCAATTGGTAAGTAAATGCTCATCCTTCATTCCTTTCTATAAGTTGCTTCTATTGAAAAACAATTTTGAATGGAATTGATTTTACTACCTAGTATTCTATAACTAACTCGGTTGAAGTTCCAGAATAAAACATCCATCGGACGTGACATTTATGGAAAGAAATAGAACCATGCAGTTAATATTTAACTCTGGATTGTGAGATTGTAAACTTGATGAACTATGTCTCCGTTTCTGAATCACTTTCTTGCTAAATTCAAATTTGAAACTGGGTGATGTTTATACTCACTATGAATCGACCCCAATGTCTTCATAATTTCTACAATGACAGCGTTATCAGTGTATTCCGTGTTTCTTAGCAGCGATTATATCGGTAAGAAGCAGGCTATCTGTAAAGACGACAAGACGCAAATTAAATTGACCGCGGAAATCAGCAGCTGATCAAAATGGAGGATTTATTTGTAGACTCAACTACTATGTTAGAGGGGTGGTGGACGCAACTTCAATAGGGATATCTCATTATTTTTGTAATTATTATTTGTTTATTATTTCATTCACTCACTCTTTAAGTCATTCGCACATCCATTGACTTATTGATCAATTCGTTCAATGATTTGGTTTGTTCTTGACTGAATCATTGATTTGTTTATTAGTTCATTCATTTTTGTTTTGCTTTTTTGTTACGTGGAAAACTTGTGTCAAAAACACGCGTCACATTTTAACACAAACTCATATTCTTGTCAATGATTTCCGAGAAAACGTTTATGTGGTAGCTTTTCGCAGATCGTCAAGTTCATTTGGTGACCTCTAGGAATAAATTATTATTTTAATTTTTAGCATAGTAGTAAAAAATTGCCTGACGTTTTATTCATGTCACCTGCCGGCATTTCATAAATAGTGTTTGTGCGTTACGTTGTGGAGTCCACTGACACGTCCGAATAGTGTTTGCTCAAACCCAGGGAGTTTACACGCGTACTGTAACGGCGTCTACTTCCTGTTTGCCGATTTCGACGTAACGTGCCGACATTATGGCACAAATTCAGAAGGTATGTTGCATTATTTACTCGTTTATGGCCTTAACACGCGGTTTCACGATTACTAAAATGGTAATTAATCCCGCGGTTACGTCAATAAGCCCGTACTTAGGTGTGGTCACCACGTAAATCGGTTTTAAAATTGCATGATGGCGTGCCGGGTAGCGAATGTGATGAAGGCGTACCTGAACACGTCGCCAATCATGACAGATATATCAGCGGTGCGATTGTATTCGGCTCACCATATGGCGTGTTCATTTAATCGATATACCCATCGTACCTTGATAGGTTTGTAATTGTTGTAGAGGAAATTGTGAATCATACCATTCACTGTCGTGGAACATTTCTATTCCGTATAATTTCATTACATGATAAAACCTGATGTGAATTAAGGTCACTGCGTTACACATCTGATACATTTGTCAAATAAAAATTAATGTTTCCCACGCTACAACGTACACACGTCACCTATTGCAGGTTTTCTATATTGCTAAAGAAAAACAGAAATTTAAAGATGACAAGGAAGAAAAGAAGAAAGGCAAGGTAAATAGTAGTTTAATCTTGTTTAGAATGGTCTGTAAGTGTAACCGCATTTAATATGCAAATACAAAATGTATACACCATGTGCTTGTTTCCCAGAATACCTTCAATTTGATAAGAACCTGTGGCTCTGACAAGCATATACAACTTTAATTTATAAGTTGTTAAAGTAATCTTTTTTGATAATCTTATTTATAACGTTTGTATTTTTAATAGTGTTGATCTGCAGTCTTATAAGGCATCTGTTGCTAAGCAACAGACAGTGTGTATTAAGGGATGTGATTTCTGATGTTAGTGTATATGCTTCTGAACAACAACTTTTCCTGTACATTTCATTGAAATATAAATAACATGTTAATTCACATGTTTTTTGTGTCCCCTTTATGCCAACTTTACTCGCCTCCAAGGTGTTTAAAGTGCATTGGCATCTTAAAATAAATTTGAGTTTCACTGTTTATCTTATTTCAATGTAAACAAGCTGGCAATGTGTGTCAAATTTTAAAGTGTCAATGAAATGCCCACTAACACATTTCTCATTTTTGATCTGTGTACATTTATTAATTTTGTTTTTAAAAATAATAAATTATATTCAACTTAGTAAATTTGACATATTTTTTGTGTTGTAGCCACGCTCTCCCCCCTATCCTTGCGTAGTTGACTGTTTCCGGTTTTCCGACTGCTCCAGAAAAAGGCCAACAGTTTGTTTTTTTTCAAAGAGTTTTAGTGAAAGTTGTTCTCACAACAAATAGATTTACAATACTTAAATGGGATGGGCCTCATCTTATACCGTCATATATTTTGCCAATTATACTTTCATTTTCGAAAGATCTTAGAACTACTTGGATTTCAAGATAAGTTCTGTAAGCTCAGTATCACATTTTAAAGAACCAGACTCCGGACCAGGACATCGTTGTGATGGATTTCAGAAAATAAATCACATGGCTATTTTGCGATCCTAAATATTAGTTTGTGACTTCTAAGATCCTGTACAAATATTTCGCTAGTGATGCGATCACCTGAGCGTTGGTCAAACAGAAAACCACGCAACACTTCTATGCTGCCAACTGTTCTTAATTTTGTTGTCTATAAATTTCTGAATTATTTGATAATAGGTGTTGAATGATAACTTTACACCTCTGCAATTAGATGACCTTTGTTTTGACCTAATTGCTTTGTGTGCGTAATAATTCGTAGACTAAGAAATCAGACTCTAAAGAACGAAAGTAACTAAATGTTTATCGACCGAGTAATTTTAAAGGCAATGTCATAGCTATGACAACCATGTTAACCGAATCATACAGGTGTTTTAGAACATAGGTAATATAAAAATGTGAAGTTTGGTTATACATCGATCTCATTTTTTTAATACCTGGTAAATCAAACGCTGTCATTAATGCACTTGTCTTCGCTGTGACCTGACTTCACCCATTTTTAGTCCCCGTTCGGACGCAGTCCGAAAACGGGGACTTATGTTTTGCCCTGTGTGCGTTCGTCCGTCCGTCCGTCCGTGATCACCTGTATCTCGAACATGCATGGACCGATTAAGTTCAAACTTCACTCATACATCACACATTATATGGGACATATGCACATGCATTTTTTTCATGATCTGATTAACGATAGCCGAATAGCGGCCATTTTAAGGCCGAAAATGCATCAAAATCGCACATTTTCACCATTCCGGACCCGGATCTCAGTTATGCATGGACGGATTTTGTTCAAATTTGGTACATACGTTAAACATAATAGGACCTTGATGCACGTCATTTTTTTTTTTTGGATCGGGTTCGAAATGGCCGACTGGCGGCCATTTTGTTTTAAAGAATTCAGTT